CTTTTTAAAAAAATGCCCTGTGCCATTTTGGGGGTAAAACTAGGATGCAGCCAAGCAGGAATAACATACTCTGTTTGTTAGCAGGATGGTCCCATTTGGGGGAAATGGAAATTTCACTTCTTTGGGAGAACAGTGCAGTTAATTCTGGCAGGAAATACCCTAGAATACAGACAAAGCAGTTTTGATTTAATTTTTATTCCAACTTGTATTTTCTAGTTCCGAGTGTTTGGATGGAAAAGGAACATACACTGCTTGGAATGGGGCATTTTTATACTCCAGTATTCCAGTTCTCATTGGGGTAAGGGAAAATAATTCCAGAACTCAATTAATTTTTTTTTTAAAAAAATCTTAGTGCTTTAAAAAATCATTGATGCTTCTACTCATCTTTTCAAACATGTGTTAGAAGAATTCTTTGCCGCCAGTTCCCACACCGTGTGCATGTCATAAGTGCGTGCCCTCACAGGTACGATCCTGTCACTCAGAGGGTTCTGCTCTTCCTGTTGTGAATGCCTGCCTGGGATCTGTGTATTCAGCTGCAGTTCCCACTTTTCCCCGGACTAGCGCTTGACATGATGACCTCCCTCTTGTTTTTCCTGCCGTGCCTCTAAACACAACATGCTGGTACTGCCACCCCCTCTGAAACACTTTACCAAATCCCTCCCGCATAGGCCGGATCATGTCAACAAGTCCATTTCCTGTTACTGAGCATGTAAGAATATTATTTGGAAGCAGCTGCTATCTCCGGCAGATGCCACCTTGGTTTCTGCATTGAAGTGGGGGGGACACAACATCCAACACAATATTGTGGTGTCCCCTCACCTCTTTCCAACTACTCATCCATGCCCCTTTTAAAAAAACATCTTCCAAGCAAAGTTTTTATAGTGTGATTTCCTTGCTTCCTTCACAGAATTTTAGGTGGAGTAGGTTCCATTCCAGACATCTTTTCTAACTCTGTAACCACATGCTTTCCTATTCCTTCTTCCATCACCTACACGCAGCTTTGAAAGTTAGTTTTTAAAAACAATTTGTTGTGTACATGTATTACAAAGCCTCACAGTACAAAATGGCTACTATCAGAGCTTGATGTTACTTTGTTACTTAGGGCTGAAAAATTCCACTTCAAACATCCTTTTGAAAAACAAACTTAAAACTCCAAAATGCTACAGTTTACGCCCAAACCCGTAACAAACCAGCAACATTGTTCTCTGCAAATTAAACTGCTTTTAGAATCAGGCTCATCTTTTAGAATCAGGTTTTGCTGCCCGGGGCGAAGAATAAGATGCGTAAAAGCCAAATAGTCTGGCATCTGCTTAATTTCTAAGTGTTAGTAATGGAATCATGCCCTCCACAACAGCTGAAGGCAGCAGATAGCTTAGGGGGCTCAGGGCAAGACCCACAGTGCACGGATCTAACAGCCGGGTGACACTAGAGGCCACCGCCTCACTCTGCCTTACAGTAGGGCTGGCCCTATTTGAAAGGTGGCTTTCTTACATCCCTCTAGCGAGGAGTAACATACTAAAAGCAAGGTGGCTACTTAAGCATCACTCAAATCGAGGATATACATCAAGGACACTGATATGCAGAAGACTATACCTTCTGATTTATATGTACTGTACAGACCTTACTTTGAAACTAACGATGCACTGCTATATTTTGCTTACATTGAAGCTATTTGATCTGTTGCATATGGGGTATATATCCCCCATCTATCTGAGGACTGCTGAATGTTTTAATGCCATAAAATGGATGGATGGATGGATGGATGGATGGATGGATGGATGGATGGATGGATGGATGGATGGATGGATGCACAGCTGTAGAATTAGAAATGCTTTTTTACAATTGAAAAGAAACCCAGTGCATCTCACTTACATGGGAAGAACTAGGATCTTGCTGCTGAGTCCCCAGCCCAGATGGTCCATGCAGACAGGCAACTTTGTGGTCCCTGATCCTTTGGTTCTTTGTTGCTACATCAGATGTGGACTGGAGACCTCTTCAAAATCGGGAGGGAGAGTACTATCCCCACTACCCCCCCATAGAACGTCAAACACAGAACTATCCTTTCTCTATGTAGAAGACAACACAGAGCCACCCTAGTGAAAAGTACAGTACTACGTCACTTCCAAACTTTGTGTATCCTGGAGAGAGTTAGGTGGATCTACTAAGGAGGAAATAACAGTATGACCGCCCACCTTCATGCCTACTAAGGGTGCTCAGTCCTCACTGGGCTGTTTTGGTGGGTTTTTTGCTTTTATAAGGTGGTGGGAGAGGGCTGCTTATATTTGGTACTTCTGCAAGCAACAGGGGCTTTCCTCAACATACAGCTCACTTTTCTTTCTGAGCAACCCCATTTTGGTTCAGTTTCCATCAACACCAGAGGCTGGGAAAAGTAACTTTTCTCGGGAACTACAACTCCAAGAATCCCCAGCCCTGCCAGATGGAGGGTCTGGAAGTATAGCCCCAAAGAGTCATTTTTTCTGATCCAGGGTCAGCACTCACCACTTGAGGTTGCTGAGAAAGAAAACGATGGCTAAGAAGGCTTCCACTCTACCCGTGGGTGAAACAACAAACCAAAAGAATTTTCACTTTGAATTTTCAATGCAAACAGATCGAGACCAAGGTGGGCATCCACCTTTCCCTCTTTGATAGGAACATGCATAGCCCTGTCAAAAGGAGATAATGGGGGAAACTGTTCTCTCCAAACTCCTCCCACAGGGAGGCATCATCCAGAATTCTCTTGAGATGCAGTTAAATAATAATCTTAGACCTGCTGCTGTATCAGAGCTATTTCCCGGTCACTATAAACACAACAGTTACCTATCATTAAAGAGAATGATCATTTCTCCATGTAGTAAATGTGATCTGCACAGCAATGTATGCTCAGCGTAGCAAGCTGTTGCAAAGGAAGTGATGATGAAAGAAGGAACTGTCATGACTAGTCTTCTTAGTTCTTCCCCTTTCAGCCAGCTGGGGGTATAGCTCAGTGGTAGAGCATTTGACTGCAGATCAAGAGGTCCCTGGTTCAAATCCAGGTGCCCCCTTCTTTTTTTTTTTTTTTTAAAGGAGAAATTCTATATCTTTAACTTGCTATCCTTAAAGGAGAGGCAAATAGATATGTCACCAAACCATTCAGGTGAACATAAACGAAATACCAAAGAGCTGTGTGTTTATTCTGAGCACATGCATTTTGATGTATCAGTCTTACTTCATTTACTCACTTTCCTGTTAACTTAAATCACAGTGACTTAAAAGCCCAGCACTTTGAATAGTACTCAGAGGATTAAGGGGAGTCAAGCAGGAGTGATGTAAGATGCTTCTGGTGAACTAACCTGTTTGGACATGCCCTTATATCTGAAAAATCCTTAAGCATGCAGTCTTACGCCAGCTTATGCAGGAGTAGAAGTAGGTTAAATATAAGCAGCCTCAGACGTTCTACATCCTGCTCCCCTCTGAAGATTCATTGGTGGGCATCAAGGACATGGCTACCCAATCTCCCCGCTACTGTATAGCCATTTCATTGTAGAGATGCCTTCAATCACCTTCCCCCAAGCCTAACTGGGCATAGCATAGTAAGACTGGTCAGTTGAGGAACAAGAATGCGCTCCTGCATTTCAAACACGTAACTCTATGAAAGTGGGCACTCCAGCCAGTGTTGCTTTCAATGACCTCTTCCATGTCACTGTTCACAGTCCAGAAGTTCGGTCCTCTTTATCTAGGTGGCTGCCATCCTGGCTGTTCTTCTGCAACATGGAGATTACATGAACAGCTTATCTGGTTGCACACACAAACTATCAGCTTGGAAGCAGGATCCGAAAGCAGAGTGAAAAACACAGACAAGGAGAAGCACCATTGTAGACCAGGAAGAGGAGCCAGTTGAAGAACAAGGCAAGATGAATTGCACGGGAGTTTAAAATGGCCAGAACTGAGCATTTCAGTAACCTTATCCTTCGGAGCTCACCCAAAACCAGCTGCTAACACTTGGACCAACATTTCTGCTCTTGGGAAAAACTGTCTTATTCCTAAAGAGGCTGACATGCTTCATGCAGGGGGCATCTCCTGTGCCTGCGCTTTGTGGCCCTCTCTTGGACTGGAAGGTTCTCCCAGGACACACACCCCCTCCGAAAAGACAGGTTCTCCAGAGGCCTCCCCCAAGGCTGATTTCAATGCCCCTGTGGCTGAATGGCTTACTCTGTCCAAGAGTTTGGGGGCTTGTGAAGCGTGCAGAATTAGAAACTTCACTCACAGGTGATATTTCTGTCCCCGAGTCAGTCGTTACACCATTTTGGACCAGTCGTCCTACCTGCACTTCTGCCGCTTAGCAGACCAATCCAAGTTCCATTTGCACATGGCACCATGCACAAATCACACCATGCACAGATGTCCCATTTGTGCATGTTGTGATTTGTGCAAAACCCATGCACAAATCACATCCTTAGCCATACCCTACGAAACCCCCGCCCCCTTCGATCAGCTGCTCTCCTTCTGGGTCCTCATCCTAAGACAGACTCCAAGGAGGACAAGTTAAATCAAGTGGAGAGACATTTAACGCCCTCTAGAGGTGTTCAGAATTGGACTACAACTCCCATGTTCCCCAATAATTGGCCTTGGGGGCTGGGGCTAGTTATGGGCAGGGACCCATCATCATCTGGATGGGAGCTCCAAAGGTCCCATATCTCACCCTGATCATTGTTTTATTTGTTTAAAATATTTTTAAGTCGTCTTTCTCCTTTAAAAAGGAGCCCAAGGCGGTTTATTCAAACATGCACAGAAGGAACTGCGGTTGCGCACTGCCCTCCTTATGTCGGATGAAGGACTCCGCCCGATCCTTCGAATATACAATTGTCGCAAAGGAGTCTCTCCATCGTCGCGCACGTGTGCGACTCTCCCTGCGTATCTCTATGGCCCTCCTCCCGCTTTCCTTCCATGGCCCGCCCTTCAGAACGCGGTATATTTATGGCGTCACTTCCGGCGCAGGCCTCCTTCCGCCTTTACCGGCCGGGACCCGGAAGTGGCGGGTGGCTGAGGTGTCGGGATGGCCCCGCCGGCCGGCGAGCGGTCCGGGGAAGCCGCGAAGGGGAAGCGTGAGGTAACGGGAAGGGAGGCCGAGCGGGGGCCGGGAGTTCGGGGCGGGCTGCTTGCTCGGACGCCTGGGTTCCCCGGGGCGCCTTCACAGAGGAGGCGGCGGCGGCGGCGGCTTGTGAGGCGACCACCCCACCTTCGGAGCTTCGGCTGCTCTCCGGCGGGAGGCGTCTTCCTTCCCACCTCCGGGAGCGATAAGGAGAGGCGGGAGGGAGGGAAGGAACGAGGGAGGCAAGGCTGCTGTTCCCTGGCCCGTCCCTGTGGGTAGGAAAAGGGAGGGAGGGAGGAAGTAACGTTTCCACAGCCCGGAAACGTTACTTTTGGGGTTGAGGGGGAACTACAGTTCTCAGAATGCCGGAGCCAAGCTTTTTGGAACACGCGGGCTTGAGGTGTGTGTGTGTGTCTTGTGGAGTGAATGCAACTCTCAGAATTCCTCACCAATTCATATTCTCTCTCAGTGTGTGTCTTGTGGAGTGAATGCAACTCCTAGAATTCCTCACCAATTCATATTTATGTGTGTGTATGTGTGTGTTTATGGGGGAGGGCTCTATGTGTGTGTGTGTGTGTGTTTATGTGGGGGCTGATGGGAGTTGTAGTCCAAAAGCATTCGGAGGCTGCCCTTGGCCTCCGCTGGGCTAGGAGCGCTTCTCCAACTGGGGGTCCCCAACTGGTGTTCTTGGGCTGCCACTCCCAGAAGCTGCCACCCTTCGCTGTGCTGGCCAGGATGGCTGGGAGTTGTAGTCCAAGAACCTCTGGGGAGCCCAGTTTGGGAACCGCTAGATTCTAAACGGGCCCCAAACAGTCGAGGCAGGTCTTGTCATCTTAAAATGCAGGAGCTCTTGTTTTATCCCAGCAGGCAGAAGTCACATAGGGACATGGTTGGGCTCTCATTCTGAGCTTACCACCTCCTGTCTGAACCAATGAGTCGTCTTAAGCCTGGGGTCTGCTGGTTTTATTATTATGTCCTTAAGTGTAATGTAGGCTAGTAACTGGGTATATATATACAACTTTTCTGAAAGGGTTTCAAGTTTAGCAAATGTATATTTTGATCATTGCTCTTATAAATAAAGCCTTCCCTCCCGCCCCTCTTCTTCCAATTTAGCTCCCATATAATATGGGTTCTTTAAGCTTGCTTTGCATGGAACTGTTAAGGAGTACATTGTGCATCAAGCAGCTGAAATATTCCTCCCAAAAATCATTATGTCTCCAAGGTAAGTATCCCTAACTTATTTTATATTGTGATGTTATAATCTGGGACACAAATGCCCAAAGTTGTTTAGACAGTTATTGTGGAAGTTCCAAAATCCCCAGTTCATGTAAGCTGCTTCTGTTAATTACTATCAAAACATTCGCCTCTCTGAAAATATTATGGTGGTAGCTCAGAAAGCCATACATTGAATCCATTGTAGTTTACATTGTATTATACATGGTAGCTTACATTCCATTATCTAAAGCCAGTCTGAGTAGCCAAAAGAAAAAAGCTAGATAACCATCCAGAAATCCATCCAGATGTCATGGATGGACCAATATTTTTTTTAAACCTGCCGATTTATGAGTGTTGTCCACCCACACAACTGGTCTGTTATATCAGTGCAGTCCGTAATTAAATCAGCCAGGGTCTCAACAAACAAGGTATGCTGGCTCCCCCCCCCCCCCCGACAAACCATAGTAAAAAAATTAGGGTTTGCTGTTACAACTGATTCTTAGAAGAGGAAAAAATTAGAGTTCCTGGTGCAAAATTTAAAAAAGCATTTCAGGATGCTAGCAGGATGAGAGCAAAACACTCCCGAAGTGTTACGGATAAGAAGTGAGGTAAGATCCTGTTGTAATCTTATTCTGATTAAGTCCCTCCAGAGTACAACCAAACATTCTCATTTCTCCTGAATGGCTGCATATAAGCACACAACATACTGGTATACTGCCTTCAGTGGGACTAGCATATACTAGTGCTATCTGTTTGTGACTATAACACTATTTTTGACTGTGACAGTATACACCACTGTACTTTCTTCTGATAGGAATTTGCAGTTCATATGATTCCCTTCAAGAGGCACGATATACAGTATTATGGTGTGTTAGTTAGAGTTGTTTCTGAGTGGCCTTGAAGTCACTGCCTCAGTCTCTCTGACCTCACAGGATTGCTTTGTTGAGAAAAGATAGCACTATATTGAGTTCTTTAGAAGACATGTGATGTATAAATCAGTTGTTTGCTAATAATTTTTGCTGTGTTTGTGTTATTTCTGTGCATGTTGGGTACGAGTGGGAGAATTCCTTTGTAATGTATGTAACTGCAGGATTTCTTTTTCAGTTCCTATTTGCACCATTGGTTAAGGGGAAGATACTTGTGCCTTGTGAATCTGTGGCATCTGGCTGATAGCAGAAGTTCTGGCTCTTCCTCTGTCTCCTTATCCTGATTAAACTGTCCCAAAATGGGTAGGTAAGTATCTGAATTATGTCTGGGTAAATGCAAAAGCTGTGCATCTCATGGGTATAAAGTCACCATCTGTTTGATGTTGTGTGTCTTCTGTTTGAAGTCTGATGGTTCCTTTGCTCCTTTTCTCAATGCTTGCAAAAGTAGGAAAATGAATGGCTCACTTTGCTACCCAGTTAATAGCTATGCACCGCTGCTATGTGGCTGTACAAGAATAGGTGTCAGAGAATATGTGCAAAAGGTGGTAAAATTAGATTACTGATTGTTTGAGAACAGAACAGATTGTATCACGAAGAAACGGCCCATGGTGAGGTGTAGCTGGAGTGTGATGTGTAGTTCATTTTCTGAATTAAAATCAGCACGCAGTTCAGAAAATGGGTAAATGGAATTGGAAAATATGCCACTTATCTCTACACAGGTCACTGTATTTTAAATATTAACAAAGAGGATGCTATTTCTAATATAACATTTCCTGTCACAATTTTATATTTTTAATCATGGGCATACTTTTAGTCAATCAAAACTATTTTAATTGATTTATTCTAATTAATCGGCTAAATCTTCTATCCCTAATTACCTCAGTCATCCTTAAACAACCCTGTAAAATAGGTTACTATGATCATCCCTGAAGGTGCAGACCTGAGGTTTGAGGCTAAGAAGACCGTGACTTACATAGACCTAATGAGCTCATGTCTTGAGATTACATTTGAAATGGGAGTTTTCTGGCTCATAGCATGTCCTCTTAGGAATTACAGAGCAACAACTCTTGAACATGCCAGTGCTTTAAAAGTTGGCAGAGCTTAAATATCAAAGCCCAGATTCATGGTTCTTTGTCATACCTCTTCTCCCACCCAAAAGTTCTTAGCCTTGCTGCTTTAATGTCCTGTCCGCAGGTTGGCAACTTCTGCTAGTGAGCTCCCTGAGTCTGTGCTGTACTTTTTTTTACTGCCCCACTGAAATGTGGTGAGCAGCAGGAAGAAAAGCTGCTTGCCTGATTTAAAACAATGCCCCATTGGTCTGTTGGGCCCCCATACTTGTTGTTTTAAAGTAAAAAAAAAATGCAGCTTCCCACCTGCTCCTGTTCGTCATCCACTCCCTAAGCAACTTGTGCTCCTTGACTCCCAACATCTGGTTTTCTAATCAGCAATTTCTGTTCGGTGCAATATTTTAGGTAGTTAAAACAATGTAAAGTGGTGTCTACTTTGTAGGTATTTGTGGAAAAGCATATCGCAAGATAAGAGCAAATTTTACTATTTGGAATCTGAGAAGTACAGAATCCTCCATTTGTAGAGTTTATCACCTGTCCAAATTGATGGTGAAATATTTTGTGGCTTAGAACATCTGGATTCCGGCAACAGTACCATTGGTAAAGTAATACTGTAGCGGGATCGCATTTCAGGCTATCTGATTTTTTTTCTTCCTTTTTTTTAACTTGCAGGATCAGTATCTCTTGCTTGTTTCCTGCTTCTTGGCACTTTAGCCTTTCACCCATTGGATGCCCTCGGGTATTGAACACCACATTACGGCAGATTATTGTCATTGGGCTACTGACTGCGGCATTTTTCTTGCTGTACTATTCTGTTCTGAAATATGGTTATCGGGACAAAAAACTGCACAGGTAAGAATAGCCCGAAGGGGAAAAAGAGTGCTCGTTCAAAGCTGAAAACAGTGACAAAAGTCCAATTTTACTTCCAGCTGGATTAGACCCTTTGAAATGAATGAGACGCATCAGTCCTCACTAGTGATGGGCGCAAAGCACCATTTGGTGAATTGCCGAACCAGTAGTTTGTCCCCATCTCTCATCCCCACTAATCTTAATCCCCATTGATTAGAAAATGATAATTAGCCCAACTTAAGTCATAGCTTGTTAAGTATACACTTGAAATCTGCTTCTGCATTACTATAAATTCATTGAGCTTTGTAGTTTGATCTTATGTTTGCGTATTGAATCGTCCTACTGTGTTCAGTCTAAATTGTTCCCCAGGCAATGCAACTGCTTTCTCTTCTAGATATCTTGCTCGAGTGACAGACACAGAGGCCACAGATACCAGCAACCCTAAACTGAATTACGGCATCATGGTGGACTGCGGGAGCAGTGGGTCTAGGATCTTTGTCTATTGGTGGCCAAGACATAACGGCAATCCTCATGATTTACTGGACATCAAACAAATGAGGGACAAAAACAGAAAACCGGTGGTCATGAAGATTAAACCAGGTATCAGAGAGAAGTGCTCTCTCACTCTCTCTCTCTCACTCTCTCTCTCTCTCTCTCTCTCTCTCTCTTAAGACTTTACCACTAGGAGGCACAACAGTGATAGATTTTTAAAATGCAACATTTGTGTTAGAGGTGAGAAGCTTCTGGATTTCCAGACATTACTGGATTGCAGCTCCCATCATCTCTGACCATTGGACATGCTGGGTGGTGCTGGCAGTAGTTAGGGAGATTCTTTGGTTCCCCACCTGTCTCCTGTTATTTAAAAAAATCATATTTTGACAGATGGGCAGTGCACTTCTATTTGTAGTTTTTACTGTTTTTAACCAAGAAATTTGTTTGTTTATTAAGTGCTATCAAGTCATATCTGACCAATGGTGATCCTAATGAGATTTTCAAGATGTTTAAGAAATAGTTTTGTCAGTGCCATCTCCCAGTTAGGTCCCATGACCAAGCAGGGATTTGAACCCAGGACTTCTGAGCTGTTATCCATCACTCTTATCCACTACACCACTGGTTCTTAACCTTGGGTTACTCAGGAGTTTTGGACTGCAACTCCCAGAAGCCTTCACCACCAACTGTGCTGGCTGGGGTTTCTGGGAGTTGCAGTTCAAAAACATCCGAGTAACAAAGGTTAAGAACCACTGCACTACACCACATTGACATCAAAGAGAAGTTTCTTACCTACTCAAAAATTATGATCACACAAGTTTTGGAAGTTATTACATACTTTAATTGAGGTAGTGTTTTGTCTTGCATTGTCATGTTGTAGAAGTGTTAAGGTCACCAGGAGACACTTTTCTCTCAGGCCCACCAGTTTCACAGGTATTTTGGTTGGTAGGTACACAGGAGAGAGGCCTTCTCTGTGGTTGTTCCTAGACTTTGGAACTCCCTCCCACAGGAGGCCAGGCTGGCCCCATCTTGGCTGTCCTTCTGCAAGCAAGCAAAGACCTTTTTCTTCAGGCAAGCTTCCCCTTAGTGACTGGCTGCCTGAGTGGGGCTTTTAAATGGATTATTGTGCCTTACTACTTTGAAAGTGGTTTTGGTGTTGCTTTTTTAAACTGTCTTTTAGTGTGGTATCTGCTTGATCCTTCTAAGTATTTCTTACAGTTTTTAGTTTTAAATGTTGTCTTTTAATGACATAAGCCATCTTGGGTCCTTCTTAAGGAGAAAGGTGGGGTAAAACCATTTTAAATAATAATAATATCCACAATCATTTATCATATTGTGCTGCTTTTAACACTTTAAAATAACCAAACTCTTCCAAAAAAGAGAGAGAGAGAACATCTTATGTTTAACTGACACACTTTGTGAGTTAATGTTTGCTTCTGTTTATTCCTTTCTCTCCAGGCATTTCAGAATTTGCTACCTCTCCTGAAAAAGTCAGTGATTATATTTTCCCACTTCTGAACTTTGCTGCAGAACATGTGCCCCGTGCAAAACACAAAGAAACACCTCTGTATATACTCTGTACGGCAGGAATGAGGATTTTGCCAGAGAGGTGACTTGAGTATCTTATTTCTACTGAGATTCAGTGTGAAGAATTGAATGCAAATGGTATATTTATTTACCTTTCAACTCTTTGGAATTTTGCAGCCAGCAAAAGGCAATATTGGAAGACCTGCTAACAGATATCCCGGTGCATTTCGATTTTCTCTTTTCAGACTCTCATGCGGAAGTTATTTCAGGAAAACAGGAAGGTAAGAAAACATTTGACAAGCTGAAACTATAATTGTGAGATTGATGGAGAGATTGTCCTAAATAACAGACAGATGGTACAAGGAAAGTAATACCAGACAATGTGATGGCCCCTAACCCCAAGAGGGAAGAGCATGGAAAAGGGATGCAATCCTCTCTAGGGTTCCTGCGTGGTTAGTTAATCCTCACTGTTTTGCACTCCCTACGTAGGGCACTGCAGTTTGCACCTTATTTTGTTGTCAGTTATTTGAGGGAAGGGTGTGTTGCAGAGCTATATTTCCTCTGCTGCCCATTAGCTGCCTAGAGTGGTTGTATAGACCAGCTGGGCGGGATACAAATCAAATAAATAAATAAATAAAATAGTATTGGATTTGTAATTTAGAGAAATTGAGTAAGGCCAGTAAGAATGAGTCTCTTCCCCCCCACAAAAAAAATACAGTTTATAGAAGAAGAGATAGGGTAAGGGGGGACTAATTCTGCAGGTAGTAGTGGCTAGTTAGGTAAAATCTATTTGGGACTGGAGCATGTTGAGGCTGAGATCCCTTGCCCATGCAAGATGCAAGTTGAAGCACTCAGCATAAAGTAGCTGGAAAGAGCATATAGGCAGAGGGTACTTTTAGGGGAACTGCCTAAATCTCAGATGTGTGCCATCAAATCTAGAGCTTATGTGAATGGTACAGAAAAGCTGTCAACCATCAGCTTGCATTACCTTTCTAAAATGATTCGCAACAAGTAATTAAACCGCATGAAACACACTTCTTGCAGCCAATTCATGTTCCTTCTTATAACACTATTTGATTCCTTGTTTTGCTCAGCTGCCCACTTTTAATATTCTGCATACATGCACGCATCCTTGTTTTTTGTCTTGTGCATATGTCTGTACATATGAAGGCTACCTGAGTCTTGACTACTAGTAATGCATTACACAGTAGTCTTGCAACATGCAGCTGTATGCACGATGGCATCATTCCTGCAGATGTTTATGTTGTATGAATGGATGGCAGGCGCCGGGTCTAATTGTGTGTCATTGTGTGGGAGGCTTGTAAATCCTGTCCCATTCATGCTATAATAGAATGCATGAGCTGTTTTGATTACAAAAGTATTTTCTTTCATTTTCATATTCAGAGGAAGTATTGCTTGAAATTTTTGCCGGGCAACTAGGTTGTAATATAATTGGGTTTCATTTTGCAGAATCTACCACCCAGCAATATTAAAATACTTAGAATTATCCCATTAAATTTTATCTAGGAGTCTATGCATGGATTGGCATCAACTTTGTCCTTGGAAGATTTGAGCATACAGAGGATGGTAAGTGCCTTAAGTTAACACTACACCTGGATTAAAAAATACTAGTAATGTTAAGTTTCAAGAAGTGTGTGTGGAACATGTAACAAGGTTTTCTTCCCCGCCCCCTTTTTTTTCTTGTTATGACTGTAAGACCTGAGGTGTTTTTTTTTTCCTGGATCAGACCTAAAAATCAAGCATTTTTACTCTAATGGCATCCATCCAGGTATCTGTCTGCTCAGAACAAGACATCAAAGGAGTGACTCCTCTATCCCCAAAATCTGGGTGCAGAAATACATTCCTGTTCGATATAGAGGCTCTCTTTTAGATGTCATGATTCAAAGATGTTGATATTCATACACTTTGGGGGTGGGGGCTGTTTGCTATCGCCACGTTTGCAAGCTGGTAATCTTTTAAGTGATACATACTACTTTTTTGTCGTTCTAATTCATTAGATAGTTCTCTTCTTTTGGACTGTTTGATAACACCTATAGTGGAAATGAATCATGTCTGCGTCTTGGCTGGCTTAACGTATAATGCTAAGCCGTGGTTTAGTATTTGGTACTATACTCCACGAAAGCTCATACTATAACAGTTTTGTTAATCTTTGGGGTAGGGCAGCAGTTTTATTATTAGCTAAATTTTAAATTTGGTAAACTGGGAAACACGCATTATGATGAAGGCGAGTTCAGTTTATGTATCCTGAGATGCCAATGAGATCGAAATTTCGTGACTGCTCTTGGGTAGACTAAACCACTGATCCACTGGGATTTACATAAGTTTTGATTTACCCTTCACCTTTGCCTAGTTGAGGCTAGTCATTGGTCTTGTACTTTGCTAGTATTGCAGGCCTGCCCTTGCTGCCTTGTGGCTGTCTGTGGCAACTCAGAGTTGGATGCTTCCAAGTATTCAAAAGGGTTCTCTTCTGCCTCTCAGCCATGCTGCCTTTCATTTCTTGCCTTTCAGAAGATGATGCTTTAGTGGAAGTCCATATACCTGGCAGTGAAAACAAGGAAGCCATTGTTCGCAAGCGGACTGTGGGTATACTTGACATGGGTGGTGTGTCAACTCAAATAGCGTACGAAGTCCCTAAAACTGTAAGCTTTGCCTCTTCACAGCAGGTTATTATCTGTACAACTTTTCTTCTTTTCCTTTTGTTTTTTTCCTTGTGTTTTAACCCATATCCATTGATTCTTTTTCTTTTGCGCATTATGAGTCCTGTGCTTCATTGTGTGAAACCTTCACTGCCGGGCAAGAGCGGAGGTTGAATGTGGATGTCCCACCAGCTGAGCAATCCAATATGTATATCTTTCATTTCATCAACTTGATCCAAATATTCCATGACATTTTTTTAAATTGTGGTATAGAATTTTCATTTCTCCTGATATTTAGCTTTCAGTTTGTGTTTTGCTAATTACATTGTGATCAAATTGTTCGGTGTTGCATAAATGGTCAATACTATGCAGGGCGCATATTACTTTATAATTGACTCATAAAAAGCTAGTCTTAAGTAGAGAAGTGGTTGTAATTCCTCAGTAGAAGTATGGCAAATGCAGTGTGAGCATAACATGGAATGATTCTGTGAAACATAGAACACCAAGTAATGATTGCATTTAACAGAAACCTTTCTAAGGCCCACAAAAATGAAGAGGGGGCTGATTTGGCTGTATATTGATTAATTCGATTCAACCTTTATAATGAGGCATGGGGAATATATGGCTCTCCAGATATTGAACTGTATCTCCCATGAATCTTAGACTCCGTAGCCAGTATTGAGGGGAGGAGGAGATGCACTCAAGCAACATCTGCATCACATTTTTCTGTTTTATAGGAAAATGAATTTGTGAAATAGCAAATGTTTCTTGCTCTGAATGGCCTTTTCTGAAATAATCCAGTATTTTTACAGATTTCATCAGCGGTTTTCTATGACTACATCCTCTTCTTCTTCTTCTTCTTTTTTTGACATTTTGTGCACCACTCTTGTCTTTAAGATCCAGCCCAAACATGGTGTTTTACCATCTGCTGGATAGCTCAATGGTTTAGGTCAGTGGTTCTTAACCTTTGTTACTCGGATGTTTTTGAACTGCAACTCCCAGAAACCCCAGCCAGCACAGTTGGCGGTGAAGGCTTCTGGGAGTTGCAGTCCAAAACTCTGAAGTAACCCAAGGTTAAGAACCCATGGTTTAGGTATCTGGCTATGGAGCCAAAGGTTGAGAATTTGATTCCCCACTGTCCTTTCTTGAGAGGGGCTGGATGATGATCCATAGAGTCCCTTAGAGCTCTACAGTTCCAAGATTATGTTATATATCATATATGGTAAGCACTAGGCATTATTTTCTCCCTTCAGCTGGTTTGGATTTTAGTTCCCAAAAGCCATGGTTTAGCTTTGCTGCTGGAGCATGCATGTAAGCAAACACTGGGCGGCATGCTTATTGTGCAAGTATAGACTTCTGGGTGACTAACTGAGGACAAAAGGAGATGTATAGATTAATTGGTAATAAATTAAAAGTGGGATGGTGGGCTTGTGAAAGAAAATTACTGGGATAAATATTGGGGCATGTTTAGTCGCCCCATGTCTGGCAGGCCAAAATCAGTTTTGTGAGTCATAAACTGCCTCTGCCAGGTCTGCCAGCAGGGTGTTTAGTGTTGTGGTGTTTCCTTTCACACTTCAGTATCAGTCCTAAGAATTCTTCTAGAATCAGCCAGCTTGGATAGCTCAGTGAATTGGGTATCTGGCTTCAGAGCCAAATGTTGGGAGTTTGATTGCCCGCTCTGTATCTCAGAAGGGCCAGCCTATGTAGCACTGGGCAAACAGCATATATCCAGGGTACCTTCAGAAGAAGGGACTGGTGAGCCACATGTGAATACCCTATACCTAGGAAATCCCAGAACGGGCTACCAGAAGTCAGAATTGACCTGATGGCACTTAACTATTTATATTATAATTTGAGAGCTACAGAGCTGAATTTACTCCAGTCTTCAAACTTTTGAGATCTATAGGGAGCATTTGATTATACCTCCCATTTGCTGACTTGTAGGAAGAGGTTGCCAAGAACCTGCTTGCTGAATTTAATTTGGGATGCGATGCTCACCAGACTGAACACGTGTACCGAGTCTACGTGGCAACTTTTCTTGGATTTGGTGGGAACGCTGCCCGACAGAGATATGTAGACAGCATATTCACCAATACAGTTTTTAGAAACAGGTAATATGCAATGACTGAGTTGATTTGCTGTTCCAAATAATTGCCCTCCTTATTCAATAACGCCTTATTAGCACTCGGGATGTGTTCCAACAAAATGGAGCACTCTGTGAATCAGTACTAAAAGGGGCAGCTTAACATTGCAGCTTATGGCAGAGTTTTTAGAGACCCAGTTGTTGTTCTGGTGGACAGGGCCCCGGATCTTCTGGAAGCCCAGTCTCCTTCCTTTGGGTAGGCTGGGCCTCAGTCAAGTGCCACAAATTGGTATCATTGGAACCCAATAGAAGCAAATGGGATCATAAAATCATAGAATAATGGAGTTGAAAGGGGCCTCTGGGGCCATCAAGCCCAACCCCCTCTGCACAATGTAGGAATCTAAATTAAAGTATATCTGACAGATGATTATCTTCCCCTTCCATTGCAGTGATCATGTATCCCAGAGGTCTGGGGAAATCCTCTGTAATTAGTTTTTCAGAAGCTGTGAGGGCTTCAAGGGGAAAGAATGAAATTCCTGCAAGCCACTTTGGATGTAGGCCATGGTTACACAAATCACTATAACTCAAATTAGTTTTTGTATGGACGGTGGAGTTTGAGAAAACACACCTACTGTATATCACACATATATTTCAGAGAACTGAGGAGGTAAAATTTCTGCCGTTAAGATTGTGAGAAATTTCTGATGCAGCAAGATCTCAACCCCTGTCGTTGTGAGAGAGGAGCTCCCCATGCGACACAACCTTTAGACTGAATTTTTTAAAGTTATATTTATTTTGGAATAATATTGCTTAATCTTGCCTGCAGGCTTCTAGGCAAACAGACTGGCATGACTTCTGACAGCCCTTATCTAGACCCTTGCCTGCCTTTAGATGTTGAGGATGAGATCCAGCAGAATGGTCAGATGATGTATCTGCGAGGGACAGGGGACTTTAACTTGTGTCGTGACATTATCCAGCCTTTCATGAATAAGACAAATGAAACCCAGACCTCCCTCAATGGGGTTTATCAGCCTCCCGTGCACTTTGAGAACAGCGAGTTCTATGGCTTCTCTGAGTTCTATTACTGCACCGAGGATGTATTAAGGATGGGTGGAGATTATAATGCTACTAAATTCATCAAAGCTGCAAAGGTAATGGAGTTCTTTACTTTTGCATATCATAGCGTTAGAGTGCTAGGCTTGGGCCTAATGGTGCCCTTGTCCATGAAACTTGCCAGTAGGTTTACCCCATCTCATATAGTGGTTAAGAAGCTAAACTAGGTTGATGGCCTGGGTGGAAGAAGATCCTTGTATAAGAGTCTAGGTTCCTTGCAGAAAGAATGGGGCAAAAATGTCATCAGACAAAGTTGTGTTGGTGGAGGGGGAAAAAAGCAGACTCCAGTTGCTTGCTGTTAACTCAAAAAAACTCATTGGCTGGAATTCTGTTGCACCATTACTGAAAAGGCATTAACATTTGAAGGTGAATTGCTTCAAGGTGTGAAATCTCCGTAGACATTATCTGTTGCATGCTGAGTTGTTCAGCTTGGCACAACAGGATTTCAGCCACTGAATCGGCGGAATTTAGTTTGGACTTGCATTCTGCAGTTGATTAATTGGCTTTAGAAGATACTTTCTCCAGTCTAACTTTGCCATTTGTAAAATAGGATTGTGGAAACACATGCAAACGTGCCTTTGCATTTTGTGTGCTTCTTTCTCAGGATTATTGTGCAACAAAGTGGCCTGTTCTGCGGGAACGTTTTGACCGTGGTCTTTATGCCTCTCATGCGGACCTTCATCGGTTAAAGTGAGTGGCATTCTTCTGAGATTGAATGTCCTTGGTTATCTTCAACCGAGTGAGAAGAAGCTTTACCCATGGATTTTCAGAAAACATTTGATCTTGTTGTTAGGATGCTCAGGTTTTCACAATTTGTTGAGAAAGAAATAGTAATAATCTGAAAACTGCAGAACTGGAAGGAATCCTCTGGATCTGTCCAGGAGGCACTGGAGGGTAATAATCTTAAAACTGCAGAACTGGAAGGAATCCTCTGAATCTGTCCAGGAGGCACTGGAGGAGAATCAAACTTCCAACCTCCAGCTTTGCAGAGGTTCAACCAGTGAACTCTCTAGCAGTTCAAGAATGATGTAAATTTAATCATTAGACCCCTTTACCTATGGCGAACATTCTACAAATCATGTCCAAGAGTCCCAGATTATCATTGGCTGTTACTAGTTTTGGCAAAAGACACGACTTTAGCAGCACAGTGTACCTGATATGTTGAAATTCTTCAATTTCTGTTTTAGTTTCATACACATACACACATGGGAAGTGCCACTTAAGAAAATGTGCAACATCTTCACCTGTCTCTCTCTCTCTGTGTCTGTGTGTCCGGTTTATTTGTTTGACATTCAGGCTCACAACCATGAGGCACTCCTTGCCATCAGAGATCTTAATAAACTCTTCCAAATAAGCACCAAATTGCTTTGGACTTAATCCAGATAATATCTGCGCAAGTCCTGGTAAAACAGTGGGAATCTGAATGTGCAATTAAGTGCTCCAGACCAATGGAATTTAGTGTGCACTTAACTTCCTTTGAATTGCCTGTTGCATCTTAGAGTTTTGTTGCTGTTCAAATAAAAAGCCTCATTTGGGTGACTCGTTATTTATGTTTTTTTCCTCTGCAGGTATCAGTGCTTTAAATCAGCCTGGATGTATGAAGTATTCCATAGTGGCTTCTCTTTTCCTGTAAACTATGGCAATTTAAAAACTGCATTGCAAGTCTATGATAAAGAGGTGCAGTGGACACTCGGGGCCATCCTCTATCGCACACGATTTTTGCCTTTGAGGTACGACTTGGCTTTTCACCCCAGTAAGGGTGACATTCAAAAATAGCTGGTCAGTAGCATCTACCTGCTGGTGGATAATTTCCTCCAGAAAGCTTTGCATCACTTATACTTCCTGAATTTTAAGTGGGCCTAGCAAAAGGCCCCACCAAAAGATGGACATGGGGGCTGAAACTGAGTTAGCTGCAAATCCTGCCTCTTGCTTGCTTCTCTGTGCCCACATTTGTTCTTGAACCTTTGTTTCCAAACCTGTCAAGTTTGCCGATTTTTATTCTTTCACAGGGTTGTTGGGACATTGTTTGTTTGTTTGTTTGTTTAGTTGTTGTTGTTGTTGTTGTTGCACTCCATGTTTGTTATTGTTATTGTTATTGTTATTTTTTATTGTTGTTGTTGTACTCCATGGTACTAGAGCAGTCTCTGGGTGGTTTACAACATAATTATGCACTTGTGCCCCAGTAAGTTGAGTACTTATTTTACCAACTTCGGCAGGATAGAAGGCTGAACCAACCTCGACCCGGCTACCAGAATATGTCGGCCCCAGTAAGTTGAGTACTTATTTTACCAACGTTGGCAGGATAGAAGGCTGAACCAACCTCAACCTGGCTACCAGAATATGTCGGCATCAAACTCCGGTTATGAGCAGAGACTTGACTGCAGCACTCCAGTTTAACCACTGTACCATGGGGCGCAGTAAAGTGGAGGGAGGAGCAAGATCACCAGTAAGTTGAGTACTTATTTTACCAACGTTGGCAGGATAGAAGGCTGAACCAACCTCAACCTGGCTACCAGAATATGTCGGCATCAAACTCAGGTCATGAGCAGAGACTTGACTGCAGCACTCCAGTTTAACCACTGTACCATGGGGCGCAGTAAAGTGGAGGGAGGAGCAAGAACAAGAAGTGATACAGTGGACCTTCAACTTACAGAATTAATCTGTATTGGAATGGTGGCTGCAGGTCGAAAAGTTTGTAGGTTGAGGCTCCGTTGACCTACAATGCATTGAAAACAGATTAATCTGTAACTGGCCGTTTTTGTTTTTGTGTTTTTTTTTCCCAGTCTGTAGGTCGATTCTCTGGGTGCAAGTCAAACCTAAATTTTGCAGAGTTAGTGCCAGCTAACTGTAACTCGAGTCTGTAACTCGAAAGGTCTGTAAGTGGATCCATCTGTAAGTGGAGGGTCCACTGTACCATCTTGAGCTCATTGAAGAAAAGGCAGGAACTAAATGTAGCAAATAAATAAATGGCTATCAGGAGACTAGAAAAAGAAAAAAAATCCCAAGTAAAAAGCTTGCAGCTTCCCTGAGATAGGGAGGAGGAGAAAATGCGCAGACACACTTGCAAGCGTTGGCGAGTATAGGGCTACTCAGTCATAACTTTGGGAGGTTCATCACCCCGTTGTTCCTCTCTTCACAGAGACATCCAGCAGGAGAACTTCCGAGGCAGCCACTCTCATTGGCGCAGCTTCTCCTTTGTTTACAATCATTATTTATTCTTTGCCTGCTTCTTCGTCGTCCTGCTCTCCATCCTCCTGTACCTGCTGCGGTTACGGCGAATCCACCGGCGAAGGCTGCACAGTGGCTCTTCCCCTTCCCTCTGGATCGAGGAGGGTCTCCCCCCACAGAAGATCCCGGGAGCCCTGTAGCGTGACCGAAGACCCACCACCGAAGACTTGCTCAAGAAAAAGCCATTGTTTTGCCTCAGGGTTCTTCTCTCGCCCCTAAGAACCGTTGCCGGAGCCTCTCTCTCTTACTGCAAGGGCCAGTATCACAAGAAAGAATACAAAAACCGCCTCTATAGAAGACTTGAGATATAATATAAAAAAAAGCAGGGTCAAGCTCAAGACTGGCTAGACTGGGGGACTATCAGCCAAAATTATTTTCAAACGGTTACCTTAAAAGTACATGCACTTTGATGTGGGTGGAGTGGGTGTCGGGGAGGGGGGGTAAATGGGAGGGGAGCTATAGTGAAGACTTGATGCCAGTAAATGAATAAAGGGGAAAGTAGCAAACAGCTCCAGACACTTTTAGACCCAGTTCTTCTCTCGGCCTGTTTCTCAGAATTATGGTGGGTGTGAGCGTAAGCTAACAGACCATCTTGCTTCTAAGGTCCAGGGTGGCCAGCTCATGGCCCTCCAGGCATTCTTGAATTGCAACTGTCTTCAGGCCTAGCCAGCGTTGCCCATGATGAGGACAGATGGGAACTGTAGTCTCTAAACCATCTGGAGAGCTGATCATTCTTTGCTCTAGGAAAGGGGTTCCCCACCGTAGGTAACTCAGGTGTTCTTGGACTGCAGTTCCCAGAATTGCTCTCCTTCCTGCACACAAACCTGCCTCATTCATTGCAGCCCTTTTTAATGGCTAACTTTCCACTTTTACCTCTAATGCTCAGACATCTCCCCCCCCAAACCATTCACAACTATCCCCCTCATTTGGTTCACTAGTCTTCCCGAGCTGAATCACAACTTGGTCTTCTGCATATGGAAGTTAAGAAATCTGAATAAAAGTCGTCACCGAGCGTAAAACTTTTACTGGATTAAGTGCTACTGTGAGCAGAAAGCAAAAATCCCTTAAGTTCCGGAATTGCAGGTCTCAAGTCCCTAGATCCATTTAGTAGCTGCTTGGGGGTTAAATTTCCAAAATCCCCGAGACCTAATTTCTGATGACCCCCCCCCCAACAAAGCGCAAAGGATGTTTTTATTATGGTTCAGTCATTCTGGTTGCAAAACACACTTTCCCTATAACAATGTAAGGTAAAGGTAAAGGTTCCCCTTGACAATTTTTTTTTTTTCCAGTTGTGT